TCCATCCATCCATCCATCCATCCATCCATCCATCCATCCATCCAACCATCCATCCATCCATCTACAATATCTATCTCTCTATGGTATCTATCTCTCTATATCTATCATCTCTCTATCTCTCTATCCATCCTCAGCGGCTGAAGGTTGACTCAGCCTTCCATCCTTCTATCATTTATCTATGAGGCACTGGCCTATACATGTTGCCTGATGAGAGGTCATAACCTTTCCACAGTCCTTTCAATCACCTCCTTTCTTTGATTCCCCACGAATCTTGAAGCTAAATTGCAACCCAGTCTGTCTGTCTCTTTGTCCATCCATCCATCCATTCATCTATAGTATCTATCTCTCTAAGGTCCCTCTCTCTTTCTCTGTCTGTCTCTCTGTCCATCCTCACCGGCTCAAGGTTGATTCAGCCTTCCATCCTTCTATCATCTCTTTATGAGGCACTGGCCTATACATGTCCCCTGATAAGAGGCCATAAACTTTCCACAGCTCTTTCAATCACCTCCTTTTTCCTGATTCTCCATGAATCTTGAAAGCCAGTAATACGCTAAATGACAACCCACCTGCAGATCCATGTAAATGCTAGTATGATCATTGACTTTCACAGCCAGGCAGTTCAGAGGTAGCTCTATTTCCTCAGAGCTGGGGAGAAGATTCACAGATCCAGCCAAAGACAATGTCTGTAATGGCTCCTGATATTTCTCATAGGCAGCCCAGGGGGCCGTTTCTGAGCAAGCCAGATACACTGTGAACAAATAGAAAAAATTAACTATAACTGCCACTTTCAAGGTCAAGGACCTCAAGAAAAGAAGAAAACAACATACCTTTGTTCGGGAACCTTGTTATTACCCTCACGTGGATATATTTTATAAAGTCTACAAATAAATGTCTAATAAACCTTGCAAGGAGAAACTTTCCTCCTCAAATAAACGTAAGTCTTGATCTTCTGCCTACCTGCCAACTCGCAAAGCATCCTTGGCCTGCTCTCGAGTTGCCATAGGAAAGGCGGGATGAGAAACTGAGAGACCCTGAGTAAACTGGCAGTAGTCTCTGCTGGAATCCACCAATGGGCAGAGGGGAGTGATCTCTACAACCTGTGAAATTGCCCTGTTGGCGAATGTGATTGATGACACACCCGGGGGAAGGGGAAAATAGGGTCATGATTGCGGCCATAAATTACATGGGGTCAGAGCTGGCTTCACTTGGGAACCTGCCAACATGAAGCTCCTTATAAATAACTGGATTTCTTTTGAAGGTTGGCTTGAGACTCATGATCTGTCGGAGCCCTGACATTACCTTTGCAACGAACCTGGCCATAACTCAAGAGATATTGTGAGATTCATTCCAGATCCTTGCAAAAAAGCAAATAAGAAAGTCAGCCATATAAATTTTGGGAGGGACCCCCAGTGCATATAATTTTTCCCACAAGAAAAAGACTTAGGGAAAAAAAATTGGAACTTTGATTTTATATGCTGAGGGCAGCAAGACTACCGTATGCCCAAAAGTGGAAGAACACTTCCATTCCCACCATGGATGAAGGGCTACAAAATTTGATGGAGTTGGCAAAGATGGCTAAATTGACCGTTTTGATCAGAGAAAAGAATGTAAGTACTTTTGTTGCTACATGGAGACCACTTCTGGATTTTGTGCTTGAGGTGGAAAAAAATGAAACTTTGATTTTGGGTTTTACTGATTAGATTGATTTGTTCTTGCAGAAATGCCTAGTTTATATTATTATGGAAAAGTAAAAAGTTGAGGTTTGGTTTTAATGCTTTAATCTACTGCATCAGAGGGAATCGGAAGTCAACGCTTTTTTTTTCTTTCTTCTCCCCCTCTTCATTTTTCTTTCCCCCTTTTCCTTCTTATTTGCTTTTGTATTTTTGTATTTTATTCCATAATCCAATTTTTTTATTTAAAAAAGTTTTTTTTAAATGAATCACATAAATATTTCTGGTTTCTGAGTGCATATAAGTTATGTTTACACCACACTGCATTAACTAACTGAGGAATAGCATTACAGATAGTCCTCAACATACGACTGATTGCTTGGCAACCTCTCCCCATGGTTATGGCCAACCTCATGGCTATGACTGAACTTTGGGTGCTTGGCAACCAGGCAGCATTTATGGCTGTTTGCAGCATCCCATGGTCACATGACCAAGTTTTATGACAGTTTGGTCAAGAACTGGCATTTATTTCTGGTTTCCAGCAAAACTGTACCCAGAGTGAACCACAGATTGGACTTAAACTGTGATAAACCAGGCTCCCTTATGGTCATTAAGTAAATGACAATCTCTTATGTTTAACAAAAAACCACAATTATATACTTTAATTAAAAATACTTTGTGCTAAAAATGTTCATCATAATTTGAGCTTCGGCAAATTGTTACCTCTTTTGCTAGTGGAAAATCTTGTAAAAAAATTGTGATGTCTGTAAAGCACTATCAAGAAAAGTGAATAAAACAAAATACGCCTGTATCTATTCAAATATATTTTGGATTGCAGTGGCTTTAAAGTATCTCTTGAAAATGCAGGACAGACAGAATGGACCACATCTGCTGGTGCGGGTGCTACAATCCATAGGCCTATGGCTTAATTAATGTTGTCATTTTGGTTTTAGCACTTAGGTTCTAGTTTTAAGATTCTGCTATTCATCTTCACTATAGTGTACTAAATGCCACATGCACTCCTGGTGATATCTTAGAAATGTTTTAAACTCTGAGGCATTTTATTGCTCTTTCTAGATAATATCTACACTTTCTTTGCTGTGTCAGGACTCCTTGCACATTTTTTTAAAATTCTTTTTATAGTGGTTGATTATTCAATTTGCTAATCTGTCTGAGAACAACTATTAGGTTTGTGGCTTACTGTAAATAGTATTTTATTTGAGTCTACCATGCTCAGAGCTCTCATTTGTTATTTCTGCCCCAGAGCTGTACATGCATTGAATTGTACACCATATTTATTATTTAAGATTATGTGCTAAAGGTAAAGCCGAGCCGAAGAGGCTCAGTGGTTAGGGTGCAGTACTGCAAGCCACTTCAGCTGACTGTTATCTGCAGTTCAGCGGTTCTAATCTCACCGGCTCAAAGTTGACTCAGCCTTCCATCCTTCCGAGGTGGGTGAAATGAGGACCCAGACTGTGGGGGCAATTTGCTGACTCAATTTGCTAAAAATCTGTAAACCGCTTAGAGAGGGCTGAAAGCTCTATGAAGCGGTATATAAGTCTAATAAATAAATAAATAAATAAATAAATAAATAAATAAATAAATAAATAAATAAATAAATAAATAAATAAATAAAATATTCCCCTCGCACATATGTGCTAGAGTTTCCCGACTCTAGGGGGTGATGCTCATCTCCGTTTCAAAGCTGAAGAGCCAGCGCTATACGAAGAAGTCTCGGTGGTCATGTGGCCGGCATGACTAAACAGCAAAGGGGAACGGAACACTGTTTCCTTCCCACCAAAGGTGGTCCCTGTTTTTCTACTTGCATTTTTATGTGCTTTTGAACTGCTAGGTTGGCAGAAGCTGGGACAAGTAACGGGCGCTTGCTCTGTTACGCGGCACTAGGGATTCGAACTGCCAAACTGCTGACCTTCTTGATCAACAAGCTCAGCGTCTTAACCACTGAGTCACTGCGTCCCACAAGATTATGTGCTACCCATGAAGTATTACCCATGTAGTACCCTGCTAGAGGAAAGTCCATGCATCCACAGGCTTTGATAGAAAAATGGAGAGTTCAGGCCCACCTGTTGGTCGAGCTTTGGTTAGCTGGCAAGTTGCCCTCATGGAACGTATCACTTGGATAATTTGCTGCGCTGCCAAGAAGTTTGCCTCTTCCTCAGGATTACACCAATGTCTCTAGAAGCGGAAGAAAATCGCTCTTTAAAAGATACCTTTTTCGTGCTGTCAAATTCTAGAACTTCATTATAATTTATTGGAGGAAGAACTGCCAATTTTTCAGAATATAAGACGCATCTTTTTCACTTAAAAAAACGGTGAAAATCTGGGTGCACCTTATACGTTAAATACAGCATTTTTGGCCTCCCGAAACTCCTCCCCCTTTGCAAAAATGGCCGTGATAGCCTTTAGGAGGCTTCCAAAGTGCTCCTGGGGGCTGGGGAGGGCAGAAATGAGCAAAAAACAAGCCATTTTTTGCTCGTTTTTGGCCCCTCCCCCAAGAACATTCTATAAGCCTCCTAAAGGCTGTGCACAGCCATTTTTGATGAAAAACAGACCATTTTGGGGATGTCTGCAGAGCACAAAAACTCTTTTTTTAATTTGCCTCTTCAAAATCTTGGTGCGTCTTATACTCTGGTGCGTCTTATACTCTGAAAAATACGGTAAGTTTGCCCCAAGTAATGGAGGTCACCAAAGGAGCTTCCAAGTGAAAGTTGGACTCACCAGATGTTCAGGGCTTGGGTACCTGGCCACACAGATACTAGGAGACGTCTCCAGGTCTGTCTTGGGAAGTCGCTGCCACAGCTCCTCAGTGAGGAAAGGCATGAAGGGAGACAGGAGGCGCAGAGCCAGGTCTACGCAAGTGTACAAAGTCTGCTGAGTAGACAAAAGGCGAACTGTATCTCCGCTCCTTAGGATGGGCTTGACAGATTCCTGGGAAGAGAGACCCAACACATTAGTGGCAGAGTGTCATGTCCCTGTTGGAGCCTGAATCTGCGGGGGGGGGGGGGAGATGAGCTGGAACAGAAGCTGACAAGAGATCGAGGAGGCGGCTCTGTTGGCTTTGGAGGAAACTGGGGAAGGGAAGGGCTTTTCAGGATCAGAAAGGCTTGTAGACAGGGAGGAGCAGGAGTGACAGAGCTCAGGCAATGAGCAGAGATCACCCCCTCCTGATCCTAGAGCACGGAGAGAAGAGAGAAGGCAAGAACAACGCAGACTGAGCCGGCTACAAGAGAGGAGAGTGCCCCCCCTTCACAAGGCACACCTGGGGACTGAGATGTAAGGAGGTGGGAGGGGCATTTGTCGGGAACAAGCATTGAATCTGTGGAGCCTTGTGTGCACTTGCCAAAATCTGGAGAGTGTGCTCTGCCTTGCTCAGTTTGCCTACTTCGCTGAACCTCCGCCTCTGGTTACTCTTCTGCTAACCTTGCTAACTGGAATTCTTGCCTTGGTTACTGGTTTGCAAATCTTGTTTGCTCGACTTCAACAGAGGCTGTTGAAGGTGAGCGTATGAGAGCTTTGCTCCAGGACTTGTAGTAAATATGGGGACGCTTGGGGGGCAAAGTTGGAGCAATAAAGGGGAATTAGACCTCTTCTCTGGCTGTGTTGCTTCCATGCCATGCCCCAAGCCATGCCTCACGGAGCTCTAAAACTTGAGGGCCCATGAAAACATGAGCTCACAGACCTAACAACCCAATGAGCTCTGCAGGAGTTAGATCACAACTCCTGGAATTGGTATCAGTTTCGAGAAGCCCGTTTTAACAAAAGACACTTCTGGGTAGTGTTATCCAACACATCCAGGTCTTTCAGGAAATGCACATAAAAAGAGCCCAACATAGAATTAATCTACTTACAGGGAGTCCTCGACTTACAACCTTTCATTTAGTGACCGCTGGAAATTACAATGGCACTGAAAAAAGTGACTTGGGATCTTTTTTTTTCACACTTACAACCGTTGCAGCATCCCCAGGATCATGTGATCAAAATTCAGATGCTTGGCAACCGGTTCATATTTATGACGGTTGCAGTGCCCGGGGGTCATGTGACCACCTTTTGCGACCTTCTCACAAGCAAAGTCAATGGGGAAGCCAGGTTTATATAACGACTGTGTTGCTAACCTAACAACCGCAGCGATTCACTTAACAATAAAGGTCAAAAAAATGGGGCAGAACATACTTAACGACTGTCTCGCTTAGCAACAGAAATGTTGGGCTCAATTGTGGTTGTAAATGGAGGATTACCTTTACTCCATGAGGAATTTCACATGGAAAAAAAAATCAAATCCCCCAAATTCTTGGACTCTGTGCATTTTCCTTCTTAACATCAACCTGTGCATTCTTTTGTAATAGAGCAAACTAAGATCATCACACACAGTGGTGCGATTCAAATAATTTAACAACAAGAATCTGGGTAAGAAATGTGAAATTTACACAAGCACAAAACCTGAGAGAAAAATTTTATAAGATGTTCTATAGATGGCATTTAGATCCTAAAAAGCTGGCTTCTATGTATCCGAATGTACAGCCTAAATGTTGGAGATGTGACTCTCTCGATGCTACATATTTTCATATATGGTGGACCTGTCAAAAGGTTAAGGCATTTTGGATAAAAATGTGGTGGATCATGCAAAATATCTTCAAAAGAAGGATAAAGTTCACTCCTCAGCTATTTTTACTAGGTATATGTACTGACTTTACAGCGGTAGAGACCAATTTGGTTCTGCACTTAATAACGGCA